AAGATGAAGAGAGTGATGAAGTTCTGATTTTGACCTGATGCTGATCTTGATAACATGCTTTGCATGATTGGGAAAACTGACATACTGACATGCTATACAAATCTAAGATGGATTAATCATATCAAAATCTGAATATGCTGTTGGCAGCTTCCGTTACACTGAATAGTGACTATATGATTTGAAAATACTGTGTAATAAGGTTTTTTCATATAGATTAAGAAAATACCTACTCAACTTCAAATATTCATGGGAGGTTTGCATCTTTGCATGTTAGATCATTGTAGCCAGATTGCACTAGCGCTTTCTCCTCCTTTTAATGTCCATGATCATTAGTGGAGATTGGATACAAAGATCAATAACTTAGGCTTGTTTTCAGTCTTAAGTCCTAACTGAGAGGATTGAGACTTTTATTTTTCTGAGTAAATTATGAAAATTTGATTTTTTATTACCAAGAAAACCTGCTGTATTTACTTGTTTTTATGGATACATGCAGGAATTGGAACGGCGCAGGGAAGAACTTGAACAACTACTCCTTTCCGAAAGAGTTTAAAGCATTTTAAAGTTGTGATGAGCTGATATAAATCGGTAGTGATGATTAATCTACGGCAAACCAATGAACCTCTGTTTATCAGTATTGCTTACAAAATTGTTTGTTCATTCTTTGTAACCGAGTTATATTCTTAGATATAGGCTTATTAAAGGTGGGCTGTTGGCATATTCTTTGTAAATATATAAAGCAGTATTTAAAATTGTCTCAGTTTTTATAGGGACTTGAATCCAATTATAACTGACGATATATAATAAACTCTCCACTTTGTTAGAGCAGTTTCTGTTGTAATAGTTATATTTTGATATTGTTATTGGTTGGAGGTACTTTTAACATATGTCGTATTGAGTCACTAGTTTTACTAGTAAGGTATCAGAATCAGATATCATAATTTTGCATTTAACGTTGTCATCGTCGTTGTGTTTGGGGTCATGGGCTATCCATTCACTAATTAAGTACGAAACTAATCTCAAGAAGTGATGAAGCGCCAAAGCGATGCTCTTCCATACAATAATTTTCCTTCATATACATGAATATCAAAATTGAACTTAGGGCTGGGTGGAGCAAATTCTATAGAGACGATCTTTAATTTTGTTCAAGAACACACGCTTCTTGAATTCTTTTCAAGAAACTTTACCCGTAGCTATCGTAAGATACGGAAAAGTGAAATAAAAAATAAAAAATAAAACTAATCTTTTATCTTCAGGAAAATCATGGGAAATTTCAAACTTTGGTACAGATAATTTACATAATGTTGAGACAGCACATGATTAGAGATATGATCAATTATTATGATGCTTGAACACTTCTTTCTCAAACCTTCAACGAATCATTAATCAGGGAAACTTGTTATAAATTAAATGATATAAATTATTTATTATCAAATTTTCTTGAATCTAGTTTTAATTCATGTATAAGATAATTTTGACTTTTGGGAAACTAAACTATTTTTTTACCATTTTAAGAATTCTTATAAAACAGTTTTCGGTAAATAGACTTTAATATTTTTGTATCAAAGGCTTATTTTAGGACTAAGTAAGACAAGACCTCCTTGCTTGCTCATAGAGTTTTTTACTCAACTAGATATACAGTTACAAACACTTACATTTCATATTAAAAATGCTCCAAGTATACTTTCAATTCCCTATCGAGGATTGGGTGTAACAGAGATAACATATTTGAAATCGTCAACGGATGTGTGTTTCTGAATAAACGCAGATAAAAATTTCATTAGGATAGTCAATTTCAGCATCCTAGTTGAGAGTATTACTTGGGCCTTTTCTGCTTGTTCTTCTTTGCTGCATTCCCGTTTTGAGAAAATTTTGCGAGGCCGTTTCTAAATGCTTCAAGATTTACCCCATTTCTAACCAAAATACTTGTTACTCCAATTTTTGAGATCTGCGATTACTACTAAAAATCATGTTACATATATAACAAATCGATAATCCTTGTTCCAACCAAAAATTAGTAAATTCACACAAAACACTGTATGATCCAACCGTCAAATAAAAGACCCAGTTGAAAATGTGAAAACAACTATCGGTAAGAAAATTTAACAAGCTTCATTGAAATAAAAAATTGGCAAACGCAAACTTTGTTACCTCTTGGATGTTGTTATTATCATCGTCAAAGAATAGCATGGAGTTATAGGGGATCCCAGTCTTTAAATGAATTTTCTGAAAATGATCTGTTTTGTGTGTCCAGCTGTAAAATATTTCCTTAACAATGAGAAAGAAGTAAATTCGGTCAATACATGAATCTGGTTACAAACATTTATCATATAAGAGGGAAGGCTTAAGGAGTATACAAGGATTTCATCCGCAAAATTCAAGGTCTGAAATCTCTAATTTCCAATTCCAAAAAACCAAAGGATCGATAAGTTTTCACCACCCGTATTCTTACAGAAAATCAGACTCAAGAACTTTTATCTTTTAATTCTGCACGAGCTTTCTGTTTTCATTGAACTTAAGATATTTACATTATTATTTGACAAATAAACCTAACCAAACTCTATCTAACAATGTTTTCCTCCTGAAGGCTCAAGCTGGCCTTGAATCCAAAAATCTCTCCTACAGCAACCTGGCTATTAAGTCTTGGTACAGGGTTAATATCGCTTCACTTTCCTTCTATGTTTGTCGCATGTTTCAAAGTATACTTACTACAAAGGACAAAATAAAAAAATAAATAAAAATGAGGCTGTTGAGGATAATCTCGATGTTGTTTCTCTGATACTTTTGAGTAGACAGGAACCGCTTATGTTGAGTGTGATTATGCTCAAGCTTTATTGTATGCTATGTGCTAGATAAGCATTTTAACTAAAAATTGTCATTTGCTTCTACGGTAATCCAATAATCAAGTAATAAGTGAATTTTAAACCTATTTCAATTTTATAAAATATGTGAAGGTTTTTGCCCACTTATATTATAGACTTCATCTTTAGGATGTGAAACTTACAACATGGCCATCCTCTTGTAAATGACTAGATCAATCCTTTTATATATTGAAGCTCAATTTGAATAATTTCTCCAACAAACATGAAAAAAATAGTAAAAAAAGTAAACATCACTTATAAATTGAAACTTATCTAGCTTTCTGGTTAAGCTTCCAACACCAGCTAAACTACATAATCTAATTTTTGCTAACAAGAGAACCTTGATGCAGCATACTTCCTTAATTTATTTTATTCTTTCTTTCACAAGAAGTCGCCGTTTGATTTTGTAACAGAAACAACAAGAACATCACCATCACTTCAATTTCACTCTTTGCAATGGCAGAACCAGGACATGAAACAAAGGCAATGAAAAACAACACACCTCGGCGACGAACATTGACCTGATGCCGAGCTTGTCAAGATACGTGGTTGCAATGTCAGGAGTTGGTGACTTGGAAGCAATTGCAGAATGAACGTTCTGGCGTTTGAGCGCATGCAAAATGCCTCTAGAATGAGGAAACAAATAAGGCGTGTCGTGCTTCGAGCGGCACTCACTGAAATTAAACAAGAATATGGGTTTTTACTCGGAGAATAAACAAGATTGAAAAATTTATGAAACAACTTGGTATGATAAAGATGCAGTAAGAAGATAAACCAGTAGAAAGGCCAAAGAGTGTAATCGAGATCGAAGACGACGAGCTTCGGAAGCAGTTGAAAAACTCCCATTATCTGCAATGCCTCTGCTTTGACCTGCTCCACCTCTTCCATGCTTCTGCTTCCTATTCTATATGGATCATGCCTTATTGGCTCTTAAATATTCTTCCACTCACACCATATTATCAACATTTTATTTATTTAGGAATTTGTTTTTCTTTTCTTATTTTTATTTTTTACATTTTGTTTTTAGTGCAATTTCATCACTCAAAAAGTATTTAACTTTTTTGTCACTATTTACAGTGAAATATGTTTTTGTTTTTATGAATAATCAAATTCTGGTTTTGTTTTTAATACTTTTTATTTTTATTTTTGGATTACTTATTTACTTCTTTTTACATTAATAAAATGTTCTATCGAAGTCCCATAGTTTTGATAACACGATAATGTGATATTTTCAATAATTAATTTATTTCCTTTTAAAGTACAATAATATAATCCAGCTTAAATTGGAATTAAAGTAATTAGTTTTATAAATTGCCGGCGAAAATATACGGGTTTCTGAATACGTTAATTCATATTTTTATTATATTTAAGTAATAAAATTTTAAAACGTATATAATTTTACAAAATTATATATAAAAAAATATAATGTAAAAATATACAAAATTTTATAAGAATAGTTTAAAAAAATTATGTAACCGTTATTTTTAGAAACATAAATTCTTTAGTATTTTAAAATAATAAAGAATACTTAATTACTTATTTTTAATACATAAGTAAATAAATAAATTATTTTCATTTATTAAACAATGAAGTTGTTTAACTAAAAAATAGCACTAAAAAAGAAGTTAACAAATACTGTATTCTATTTATGGTATGAATTATGTATTAGATGTAAATTATATTATACATAAATTAATAATTATTTTTAACCATTTTAGTTATTAATCAAATGAAGAAAAAATGATCATTTCATTATATATTTTGAAAATTAGACGACATATTGACCTTTTCTATTAGTAATAAGTATAAATTGAATAAAATATGAAAATAATAGAATTAAAAATAAACAATTCTTTATATTTTAGTTTTAAAAGCGCTACTTAAGTTTTCGTTGTGACCTTTCAAAATGTATCTAAAATACTTTTGAAATAAAAATATAATAAGAAAGTTAAATAAATTGTTGAAAAAAAGAGTAAAATATTTGTCTTAAAGTCAAAATTAACTATTTTTAATTTCTGGTATTGGGTGGCAATATAAACTGACTATGAAACTATCTAACCTTATTATGAGGAATTAAAAATATGGTTTATTAATTGAACCTTTTACCATTACTGAAAAAGGTTTATTGTAAATTAGAGTTTGCCGGACCCCGTTCGGGTTAGCGATTTGACCCGAATTGTGAGTGGCATGGAATAGAAAGAGATAATAAACAGTGTACATTTCTGTAGCAAGAGTTTCTTGGTTGTCCTTCATCGTTCTCTCTTGATGAAGGTAACACTGACACTAACATTTCACTCAAATTCTGTTTCTGGATACTGATGTTTCATTTTTTGACAATCCATGACTCTGTTTGCACCATAACAGAAACTTCAACCATTGTCGATGGATTCACAGGGGTCATGAAATTGCCAACAATTAGGGCTACTTTCTTGTTGTTGTTTAGCAACTTGAGAATTTTGGCTTCTGCTGATTTTGTATGCAACTGTGGGCTGAGTTTTAGGTAAGGCTGCGGCTTGTTTTAAAGTGCATAAGGGAATACCTTGTTCCTATACTTATTCTTGATTTTTGTGGCCACTTTTAAATTAAATGGAGGGTGTTACCCCCTTAGGATCTTCTTAGGGTAAGTTTGTTTTTATGTATCATTTTGGCTTTTTCAAATTTTCTTACTGTTTTCTTTTCTATTTTATTCACTTGTTTGTTGAATGCTGTCGGATTGTTTATAATCTTGGGTATCCTGAACTGCTTATGTGTTAGAGATTTTTTTTTCTGCTTATCTTCATAACCTGTATTTGTGCCTAAAAAAGCAAATGCAAACTTCTCGATGTATCTGATAATGTTTTCTTAAGATCACTTGGATACAGTGATGGACTTCGAAATTTCAATACTTAGAAGTTCAAAAAACTATATAATTTACATTGGTATTGCTAACTTGAAACCCGACCACATGGTAACACGATGACTCCTCATTATCATCTCGTTATACCAAGAGTCATATTATATTACTAATCTAAAATTATCACAAGTAGTCTTGAAGTACAGCCATAAATATTCTGTTGAGTGTAGAAAACTGCAAAACTCGTTCTCTTAAATTTTGCTGCTAACATGATTAAAGTGCAAGATGATAGCATCATGTAGATTACTGCCAATGAGAATTTCTGATTCTTGTTGAATGCCTTGAAACAACCCCTCCAAATTATCCCAAAACCTTTATTTCAAAGTGCTTTTGATCCTACTTGTGGATTTGTGGTGCAAAATGATATTGACAGTCTAACATTAATTTTAAATATATTATCTTGGCTGTTATACAGCTGCAATCCACCAAACTTTGCTTCCTATTCTCGTCTATTGTAATACATACTCCATTCTTTCCTATAAGTTTAATGACATACCAAAGTTTAAACGGCGTATTGTCTATCTCATTAACACTTTCTCCAGCACTATTTAGTTTTTACTTGTCAAACCTAAGCAAGCATTCCCAGACCAGCTTATTTACCTAAAGCAGTATGGAAGAATGTAAAGATCCTAGTTCATTTAACACTACATCTAGACGTCAATACAGTGACTAGCTAACTTAACATTATATTTGTGCTATACAGTGCATTACTTTCAAGTAGCAACCTAGTGTTAGTAGAAATCCATCATGAGTGATCCATAATTGGGGTTTTTGGCAAGTTTTATGCTGATTGTTGAGGAACCTAACACAACTCTCTTCCACTACCCTCATAGTTATCAATAGTGTGTTCATGCCGCTAGTGTAGAATGGAATGACAACTCTATGCACCTGAAGGTTGCGATGTGTCAGTCCTTGGTTGTGGTTGTGACACATGTTTTGCATCCCAAATTGTGAGTGATCATGCCATCATACAAATGTCTTTGATGCAACTTGGTTTTAACCTAGGGGGCCCCTAAAACAACTTTGAAACAATATCGTTTTTTCACAACTATGCTCACATATTTTATTTCAATTTTTCACTTCCCTCTTCTACAAATTGCAAATCACTCCCTCCTGCATTCTACCTCAAACCTAGACCACCATTGCCTCTGGACTTTTATGACATTACTATCAACACTCTTGGCCATTTTTTTGGTCATTATTCTGATGACACTTCCACCAGTGCTACTAATCTTACAACATTGAATGAAACCTGCACACTTAGTTCTTCTTTGTAGTGACTACTTCATTTGGCCAACCACCATTTGCCAGTCAACTTATTCAACCAACCTCCAACCTTTCTAGCCACCATCACCGATGTTGAAAACTCGATGATCGTAAGGGGATCGGAAAGGGAATGAAAACTCATAACTTGAGAGGATCATAACTTGACTTGTAAGAGTTATGAGTAGATAAAATATTATATTCATAAATAGGTGCATCATTAAAAGTAATATAAATGATAAAAATAACTCATACATAATTTATAAAATGGGTTCATAACAATTAAAAAATAGGTTCATTAGTCTGGACATGCATAATGTTAGAATCTAATAAGCCATTATAGATTTCTAGGGAATTAAGTGTTACATAATCTGGAAAATTAGGATATTGATTCCTAATTATTAGGTGTGTTTATCATAATTGATTATGTAATATGCTATAAATACATTTTGTGTGCTTTGGATTAGACACACAATATATTCAGAATATCTACAATTCTATGTGGTATCAATAGTTTAGGCTATCGATTTGGTTTTTTCTTTTTTTTGGATGAATAGTAACTGCAGCCACTTGTGCCCCTTTTCTCTGTCATCGAGCATCCATTTCCTCCAATTATCACTGCGATTGAGACCGTCTTCCTCTGGCAACCACCGCGCTTCATTCACGGCTCCAATCTGCCGTTACATGCACCCTCCCGCTGCCAATTCTCAGCACACCATGCTCCAACCCAGCCACCGTGCTTCAACCTACAGACTGTGCTTCAACTTGGCAGATCATGCTTCAACCTTGTAGACCGTGCTTCAACCCTACAGACCGTGCTTCTTTTCAGTCTTGTTTTTCTCCTCACAATTTCTGGGTGCCTAACAGATGGATTCCATTGTCTTGAATGAGGTCGATGAGAGTAATGAGTGGTTGTTTTGAGAAATGATCAAAGAAGAAGAAGAAGTTGTCCAAGAAGAAGAAATAGTATTTGATGATTTAACTTGCGGAACTGTAGCAGCTGCAACTGAGGCTGGGGAGCTTATTACATCCAGTAGGCAACATACAAGCACAAAGAATGCAGCGGCAGTTTCTAGTTCTAGGCCAATTAGAAGAAATTATGCACTAGCGCTAGAAGTAGAGGAAGAGAAGTATGGTGATGAAATTGAAAGTGAAGAGGAGGAGGAACAAATCTACAACATTGACAGTGAGGAAGATCAGAATGCAATGCTTGACATTGCAGCTGAGACGATGATGTTTAAATGTTATTAGAATTTAGATTACTAACTTGCTTGCCTAAGAGGCTTAAACATTCTTTTTATTTCCTTTGCACATTTGAATATGTTTTGCTGCTTTGTTGTTTTGACTTCTTGGTTGACATTAATGTGGCATTTTAGTAATTAAACAAGTGTAAAGATATTCTTAGGTCCCTCTAGCTAGAAGTCCTGTGATTATCTGCATACATGTTTTTTTTATATGCAATTGCCGTGTCTATTACCACCTTGAATAGAATTTGAATGTTTGACTACCAATTACAGCCCCCTCAGTATTATGCTTAACAACTCATTCATTACATTATAGTTTTAAGTTTAACTTATGTTTATTTGTGTTCTAATGGGTGTTACATTATATGAAGCTCTGCGTATAACATCTTCAGATTTTGAACAGGTGCAGATTAGAAGCCTCGGAGCACTATAACTTCTTAATGCATGGCTTGTCACGTGGGATCTTCGATTCTGAAGTGGAGATTATCACGTACAGAGAATGAAAGCTCCGAAAATTCATGTCTATCCCTTGCAACTTCCAGAATCCACAGTTGTGTTTGTGAGCCAAATATTACCGGGCTAACTCTAAAAGTTGGCATGAAGTCTTCACCTTTTGCTCAGAACTGGTAATTGAACTTATTCTAACAATTTGCCCCTTGATCTAAAATTATGGTGATTTTTTCATCATATTATTTATTTGTTGTAAAAAAAAAATAATGAGCCCTCTGTTAGAACAGTTGATTAAATGAAGGATAGCCTAGAAAATACAGGTAGAGGAAGACCACGGAAACCTTTGAAAGGGATTTAAATTTAAATGGCTTCTATGGAAAGTTGCTTTTTATTAAAATACAATAGCATCGTCTGATTCGTATAGGTGGTAGCTGACTTCACATACTGGGAAAAAGAGCAATGATTATTGCTGTTATGTATACTTTTTATATTATTTGTTAGCAACTCTTATCTTAAAACCTGAAAATGGAGATATCATGCAGCCTTCTCATGAATACTATTCTTTTTTCTCACCTAACCTTGTGCATATATTTTTCTTAGTCTTTTCTTTCCTATAAGATACTTTCTCTTTTTGCATTATAAGATGCTAGAAATAAGCACTCCTTTATGATTCTAATACCATTGTTAAGTACCTGGAGAGTTTGGGCACCTCTGAATCTTACTATTAAGGGAGTGGATAATCTTTATACATGCAAATATTAATTGTCTTTCATTACTCTGGTTCAGTTTCCTGGGAAGAAGAGCTGAGTGGAAAATAGCTTTTGCCTTGAACACAGGTGGAGTGTCTGGAAATGGTGACCAACAAAGCCTCAACGAAGGCAGTTCCAATCTTGGTGGTACTCGATTGGGTAGGATACTGAGTGCAGGTGGCAGACAACTTCTAGAAAAGCTGAACTCAACTAGAAAGAACTTACCCTTGAAAATATTCCTACTACTCTTGGGCTTCTACACGGCTAATGCACTGGCTACAATCCTTGGGCAAACTGGTGATTGGGATGTTCTGGTTGCTGGTGTTGTGGTGGCTGCAATTGAGGGAATTGGCATGCTAATATATAGAATGCCTGCCACTGCAAGGCCCGGGAGGTTGCAGTCTTTTCTAGTGATGGTGAACTTCTGGAAAGCTGGCATATGTTTGGGTCTCTTTGTAGATGCTTTTAAGTTAGGCAGCTAAAAGCCCACAAGACTTTTCTTTTCAATTTATTGTTGTATATCACAAACTCTGGTAAGTCAATTTTTATAGCACTTCTCTTCTAGTTCTTTAATAGTCATCTAATTGTAGCATGTGAATATATATGACGATTGCTTAATGAGTTTTTTTCACAGTGCACCCTTTTGCATGTGCTGTGTGAAGGAGAAACTTTTATTTTCTTAGCACCGAATTCATTTGCATGTACATCTGTCCTGTTGGCTGTGTTTAAGAGGAAACTATGAGTCACTGGAGTTACCTGCACCCAGTGTAGAGCTATTTAAATTAGGAAAAATATAATCATACACCTTTCTACACCTATCTAACACCTAATTATTGTACTTGATTCATCTCAATTTGTTTTATATTTGCATATAAAAATATTCTTTTTTCAGTGTTGAACGAGTCGAGAGTAAAAAATGTGGTGTTTGTAATCATCATGAATGCTGGGTGGTGTCGCTCTACTTTTTCTTTTTTCGGTGTTGTATGCAATGTGAAGAACTTGTGACCTGATCGAAAACTAGAAATAATGAAAGGGGGACACGATAAATTGAATTTTGGGAAAAGTAGGTGCTGATTTTGCCAATTATAATCACTACACTTATATTGCACAATATTTTTTGTGCAAAAGCATTATGTTAATAAAGGTCTTGCCATCAATTTGAAATGAATGAATAATCTACGAGTTGTTTAAATGAGCGTGATGTATAAAATTTATATGGGTTAAATGTCTTAAGTATCCTTAGTTTTCTTGCAAGACAGATTATCACATCATAGTCATTTTTATCATGTTACATTCATATAATTTTAAGCAAATATTCTGAGAAATGGAATTAACTATGGAAGGAAAATGATCTTAAAGAATTATATTGACTAATAAACAGCTCGTCTGAATTAAAGAATGCTGTCACACATGGGACATACAAATTCCATCGAGAAAACGAACAAGGATGTGTTTTGTTCCCATTAAATCATCTAAAAGATAAATTTGAAAAAAAAAGAAAAGAATAAAGCTTCTCTTTCAAAACTTGGGCATGTTTATATAGCTTCAAGCAATCTCAATCTTCAGCTGCAGCACTTGCGGCACTCAAGTCCACAGAAAGATCAAGAACCTGAAACAAAAGACAAAAGTGATGCTGATCAGGAAAAGAAAAAAAATCCAGACTTTATTACCTTTTCCCCTTGAATATGATATTTTATTTATGTAACATTACATTTGGTGCATGCAGAGGCAGAATACCAAGATCATACTGTAAATCATTCTATCAGATTCTCAAAGGTATAGAAATTCTGTTACACGAGGTAACAAAGTAGGTCTAAATTTTGCTTGTAGGTTGGAAAATCGGAACACAGCTACGCATGCTTTTTAGGTCAAATCTACAAGTGCAGGTACCATTCTATATTATGGTGATAATTTAGCTTTATGTTTTAAAATGCAATTTCATAAGTAAGAAGTAAAAAAAAAGGAAATATTGTTAAATTTCAAGCACAAGCTTTTGTGTAAATGAAAGATACAAGTTCTTTTTTAATTCTTGTTCTCAAACTCTGTAATTGTCATAGTATGTGATGAGATATGTAATGTAAATTCCATTTTAAGTGAAAAGATACAAACCTTTCCAGTGATTTTGCTGTACATCCCGACCACGTCTTTAACCGTGGTTTCAAAGTGTGTGGTAGGATCATAGCTCTGCAAGGATTTAATTTCAGATCATTACACTTGGTTTTTTTGAAAATAAAAATAACGAGGAAATAAATTCCATCTTATATGCTGAAAAAGAAGTATTTATCATGAAGGACAACAGGGGAAACCGTAGGATTCTAATTGTAAATTTACAGAACATGTGATGTTCATTGCTTTATTTAAACCAAATTAATATTTGTTTCTTGTTTCTTACAACACGTTCTGGCCATATTCATTAGTGATAGACTTTGGATATTTTACGAAGTTAAATAAAACAAGCTACTTTGTATGTGTTTGGATGACTGTGCTCTAGATAACCCAATCAAGTACCGTTCACAATGGTTTGGAAATAAGAAACAACTACAGAAAGTAAAACATGCTTGTGAGAGATTCTACTCGATACTTACAGTAGAGATGAAACAACCATCAGCCTCATGATCATTGCAGGGTTCAAACCTGTCATACATGTCATAGAATATCTCATCTACAGGTCCAAGAAGGTCAATACCAGGCTTCAATTCCACCTCTGGTTGGTCAGTCTCTGCTTCTGTTGTAACAAAAGCAATAAATTTTCCTTTGGGTGCTACATTATGAGCATAAGAGCAGCAGAAGAGATACCTGCAATAACGACGTACATGAGCAAACATAGCCAATAAATTTTTTTTTCTTTTGCTTTTATAATTTTTAAAATGGAAATTTGAATTGAATTTTCCATTTTATAACATACTTTGCTGTATAACAACAATATCTGTCAGTTACAAATACTTTCTGTGATTACAAAAGTCAACAGACGGGTATTTATAGTGAGCCAAGTTTGATTCTACAAGGATTTCTATTCTTTTCTTCTTCAAGAACCTGAATATGACCTTTTTAAAGAGGGAATGACAAATTTTTGCAGGATTTCTGAACTCCTCTTTGGAAAAAGGATGTTCCCTTGTGTGTTTTCTTATAGTTTGTTCTTTTCATGGATATTTGGTAAAATATGAAAGCATCGCAGTTGATCAAAGCAAACCTACATATCTGACTTGCGACCAAGCTGCTTCTGTGGCAGAATGACTTGTGCTGAGTGAGAGTCATTGGTTTCTGGAATAGGATGGCTCATAATACATATTGCACGTGAAACCCTTCCAACCTTTTGAACCTGATGAATGAATAGTGTCAAATGGAGTGGAGGAGATCACACTTTGCTGCAATTCATGTTTTCAGACTTCGGACATTCATGTAGCTCACATTTCTTGTTATCATAGAAATCTAACCTTATCAGATAGATATGATGGATCACAAACAACTTTCTTGCATTTGGCTGTTTCTCCTTCTGAAGTCACACCGATGGCTTTCCCATTTTCGTCAAATTCTACCTGTGTACCACAAGATTAAATGTGAGGAGAAATGTACAAAAAGGAACTTGAGAGTACCTTTGCATATATTGGTTAAGGTGCATTTAGTATACCTTCTAATAGAGGCTTATAATTACTTAAAAAGTAAGTCTAATTGATTTTTCTCTTTTAATATAATGTTTGTGATTAAGTACTTTCTACTTTTGTTTCCTTAACCCATATTTGATGAGCATTGAATAACATTTTGCTCTGTATATTGTGGATTCTTCTATTTAACAGGTTTCAGGAGTTGAGCAACACAAAGTAAAGTAATGATCAATTTACAAAAACTGAAAGGCAACAATTATCTTCTTTAAAATGACTCCCAAAAACTGTATCAGACAAGATAAACTTCAAAATTAAAATAAATTCTCTTGATACAAATTTCACAAGTAATTACAGAGCAATTGGTTCTCCTGTAACTTACCTTGCATTCTGGTTTGTTCAGCATGTAAGTTCCACCGTACACAGCACTTAGACGTGCAAATGCCTTAAGGAAATCAAAGAAACCAAAGTTTAGTGCCTGTAGTTTACCAAGATTAAAATGGAAATAGATATGGAGAACCTGAGGCAACTCTCCCAGTCCATATAGTGGATATATGTAAGGTGAACCTCCTTGAAAGCGTGCTAGGGACTCTGCATAAATCTGTACAGAAAACACATATTACATGCTGATAAAGTTTAAGAAGTGACTCCATGTCTGCAAAATATCAATGTAATAAAATTAAAATGCACAAGACAAAATTTCCATGAAGGAGATAAACAGGAAGCCTGTGGAATCTCGTGATCTCAATTAGTAATTTCAACTACTCTAGCGAAATATATGATAATAGATTCTGATCAGCACAATCAGTACCTTAACTCTCTCCACAAAATCCTTGGCTGGCTCATCCAAGTAGCTGTCATCACGATGAAGTGCCAAGGCGTGACCTATGAAGTCAATTGTATCATCTTCCAGTCCATATTTCCTACATTTGGAGAAACCATTAAACATATAGTAAGGTAGATTTATTCAAGTATTAAAGCAGATCACAATCATGTTTTATGCTTAATGTGATTGAAGAAAGATTTTAAGGGATGAAAAATCAAGTAATACAGAGGAAAATAAAGGAATCAAATACATACGATATCAACTGCCTTGCTGTAACTTGATTCAAATCTAGTCCTTCGTGAGATTTGGGATCATTCTGGTCATAATCTTGGACATAAATGAAGAACTTCCGAGCACGGCGCTTCTCAAACAGTCCCATTAAAGGCGATTTCAGTGCTTCAACATCTGTTGCAGGGACTTTGTATATCTAGAATAAATAAATTCAGATATTCTGTCGTAAGATATTTGTCAAACTGCAATAGGTTTGATGAAATCTGAAGCTTGCAACATAGTAAGAAACATAGAACTCGTGAGAAAATAAATATGTTGCCTACCTTTCCCTTATTATACACAAAGCTTCCATCTACAGCTTTGAAGTTCAAGTACTTTGTAACATCTGTGTGAATGAGAACACGGACTAAAGCTCCATTCGCCATCATAAACTACAAAAAAACAGATGAAAAGATGGTTTTTGTTTCAGAAATAAACAGAAATGATAACTCTACAAGATCCATTTCATGCATAATGAGAGAGAACTCAAAGCAACTTGCTTTGCTTTTCCACATTAATTTATGCTCAAAAAGGAAATAACAGAAGAAATTGATCTACATTGCCCAACAGTTCCAAGAGCCAAGAAATATGAACACATAATTAGCACAAGTCGCTTGTCCACAATGCATAGATACTGCTAACAAGATGCATCAATGTTTCAACTGCAAAATGTGACATACAAGTACATACATACATATAAATATGAGAGCAGTGAGTTACCTTAGGTATCATATCAACATTGTATTCTCTGCTGGAACCTAAGTCCTCTGGTGGCTTGTCATCTGACCTAAATCGTTTCCATAGCTAAATGGCAGAAAATGGATTTTAGTAAGAAAACTGAAAAGGAGATATTTGTATTACTAATCAAACAAGTTACCTGTGTAAGATTGAGAGATGTAGAAGCTCCTCCATAATAGTCATTTCTATCCATGTGCAACACCTAATTCAACCATAATCAAATGACTTATAATTTTAAAAATTCAGAATTATTTAACAACTTTCTTAGTGGAGACATAGTCTAAGCTTGGTCACAATTAAAATACTCCTTTTTTATATATAACAAATTACCTAAAATATAAAATGTTTCCACTTTGTTGTCATCTGCTAAGTCAAGCAAAATAGATGAAATCATGATATTAGCCTATGCCTTAACTCATTAAGTTTGGATTTGGAACAGGCGAAAATTATATTATATGTATAGTTTATTATTCTATAATCTATATTATAACAACAAATGTTACTTTTTCAGTAAGTTAAAAAAATTAAAATAAATAATTTTGTTAAAATGTAATAAAAATACCAACTTTCACATAAGAAAATGTAATATGCTTGGAATTAGGAGGACCGTCTAGGTAGGATCGTGTTTAATCTAAATTTTGTTTGAAGTTAATTAAATTTAATTGAATCGGGTGTAGTTCATTTTATTTTATTTTATTTATTTAACAATCCAATCGAATCAAAAGCGTGAATCATTAGATTGTATAATTTTAAAAAATAATTATTTATTAAAAAAATACCTCTAAATTTTATCATTTTTTTCATAATTATAAGGCTAAAATTACTTATTATATATATATATATATATATATATATATATATATATATTTATATATAATAATCATATCATAAAATATAAAAATATTTTTGTTAAAATTTATGACATTCTAATCTTAATTGTGTTACTCATTTTATTCAATTTATTCTACATATTAATAAAAAAGTTCCATTAAATCCCTCAATTTTTAAAATTCTAAAAATGTGACATCATTTTACTCGATAAACAATTTAACCAACCTATGTTAGTGGTTTTAATTTATGCATAATGCAATTTATTACCAATGGATAACAAAAGTATAAAATTAATAACATCAATTTTAATGTATTGAAGGTTTACATTGTTAAATTGGAAAAAAAATGATCGATTTGATTGAATAATAGAAATCACATTATTGAAATTTTAAAATTTAAGGACTTGATTATATCTATTATCAATAAATGGATCTAATTAAACAATAAATAAATAAATAATACGACTAAAAGATAATAAAGCCTAAAATATCAAACAAATGGTTATTTTTTATATTATATATTAATTATGTAATTGGATTGACTTAAGTGAAGTTTGAAATTCGTTGAACATGTTACACAATCCAATTATATTTAAGTGCATTAAGTAAAACCCAACTCACAAAAGTGTAATTAGACCTAGTTGAATTATATAAAATTACAAGTGGCTACACGTCCCGAAACAAGAAAACAAAAAGCTATTGAAAAGTAATTATAAATCACGATTTTTAAAATCCCTCAAAACAACTTATTTTTCATAGAAAAACAAAGTTTTCTTTATTAAATTTGAGCAGATGTCTCAAACATTAAACTTACTCTTTAAACAATCTATTTTGTTTAAAAAATTGAAATGGGAAATATAGACATTCCGAAACATGTTATTAAGCATAGACAAGCTAAAATTATTAAATAAATTAAATAGGTTCAATTTTCAGTTAAAAAGCGAACAGAATACAAACATTAAATAAATATTTATATGAAGTAACTAAACTAATTTCAGATATTGAATTTATAAATTAACCTAGCCACTGTTTGTTCGTCGTAGACAGGCATAGGTCAAGCTTGTCTTGAATTCATGTTTCTACTTCAACATATGACACACTTTGAAAAGACAAGACTACATAGGCCATTGCACTGTTTTTTTAGCGAGGGAAATTTGACCATCATTTTTAAAGTTCTTTTATAATTTTTCATTTTCTTATATCACTTTTCCATCGAGGCTTTAGGATATCGTCTATAAAAAAAGAAGTAAATATATATATATATATATATATATATATATATATATATATATATTAATTATAAATGATGAAAAATCCATTTTAATTATGTGATTACACAGACAAATGCTCCCACCAAACTATGTCATAAACCAGATTAGATTCTTTAAGAATTTTTATATTTTACATTTCTAGCTAAAAATTAAGTACGTTTTTAATTTTCTTAATTTTTAATCAAAATTAAAATTAATTTCTTTTTAAAATTTTGATTTAATTTAATCTTTCAACTTTAAAAATGTATTAATTCTTTTAACTAAATTTTATTAAATTTAATTGATGTTTTAGGATAATATTTTATTTACATTATTGACAAAATTTAGTTAAAGTAACTAAATGAAAGCAGTGATTAAAGTAGATCAAAATTTAAAAAAAAGTTAATTCTAATTTTAACTTAAAATTAAGAAAAAAAATATGTTTAACCTTAAAATATATCATATCCTATTTGATATACACCTCTTGCTACTTAATTAGCTTGATTGTTTTAAATAAGTTTACCTAATTAATTAATTGTTTCTTGAAAGAATATTTAAAAGTGTTTACATATGAAGAAATAGGAAGAAATGAAGAGAAAATGTGAAAGAATGATGGATGTGGTTTTAGAAAGAAACATTAACATAAGAAGAATGGGAAACAGAGAAAAGAACCTTGAGGCCATCAACAGAGAGAAGACCACTGAGGATGCATTCCTTGAGACCTGTGCCCAACACAATTACATCGTACTCTTCATCCATAGTATGTCGATTGATTGAGTTTCAGAGAAATTGAAATTGAAACTGAAATTCTGACAGAACAGCAAACCAAAACGAGGTTTTGAATTTGATGAGGAAGGAAATGAGAGGAACAAGGATTTGTGTGTGTGAAAGAGATTTGAAGCAGAACACGTCTTTAGCACAACGTAACGAGACTAACGCTCCCTAAAATAACTCTTCTCACAATGCACACACGTGTTTTCTGTTATCAAAACCATTTTATTTTATTTTTTTATTTAAATCCCAATCATTTGAACATTTTTTACATTAACTTTCATTTTGGATAATCAATGTCAGTAAATTTTCACATTTTTTCTTTTGTAAAAGTTTTAATAACGGAGTGAAACTCTTGAGCCGAAAAGCTCTTACAAATTAGAAACTATAGTAATTCAAAGTGAGTTGAGAACTTAGAAAAGTGTTTATAAATAATATATAGTTTTTAACCTTAACTTTTTAATTATATAAAATTTGTAAATTTTCTAAAACACATTTTAACTTACAACGAATACATTATTTGTAAATATTCTAATACACATTTTTACTTACAAAGAATATATTATCACTAAAAGTTTAAAAATTATTGACAACATTTCATTGATAATTCTGAAAATTATTGAGTGTTATAGAAAAAAGCATATAAATTCAATTTTAAACTTTTTTATTTTTATTGTGATAAAAATATCAACGAAATTTAATGCAGGTTAAAGCAACGGAAATTCAGGTCTTCTGTTTTTCTAATCTACTTTCTATTATAGATAAACTTTCTCCAACAGATTAATTTAGTGTTTATTGTATGTTAAGAAATGCTTGATTAAACATTATTTTTTTCTTCTAATGAAAATTATCTTTATCGTTATAATTTGATGCAATATATGGAAAGTGTGAGATGAGTAAAGGACTCATAAACAGAACACTTTTGAGAAAAAGTTTGTAATGTGTCAAAGATTGTAAAAAATTTAAGTATATCAAAATACAAAGAGAAAAGCTTTGTTGACTCAAAAAATCCAACAGATTTTGGTGTACTTTTATAATGAGTTTTGATTCATCTGAAATTTAAGTTTTATAATTCATAAGGATTTTTTTTTCTTTAAGTTCTCCTACTGAAAATTTTATTTTTATATTTGAATTTTTAAATTAAGCTAACAATTTGTTGTCAATATATCAATTGTCGTTCTTTTTTTTTTATTTCTGTGTTTTCAATCTTTTATATCATTTAGTCAAATTTGTCCAAAACAATTCATTCATACCAATATATGATTAGGTGTGCATTGCCACTACAATTCTTGTTTTAAATTGAATTGTTGCTAAGTTTACTGGTTACTTCTTTTAATTTTCTAATTCTTTTCAAGATAATTGACCTTTTAAAACATTTTTCTAATAATATAAATTTTCTATTCAGTATTTTATTTTGCAAACTAAAACATTTATAATACATAAGATTACATAACAAATAAGGATCTGGTGGAGAGAAAATGCCTATAATTTGTTATGAAGTTCTCGTTTAGTATATTTCATGATGGTGATAAACTCACAAGAATATTATCAAGCCTTAAAATATGTACAAATGCCTGTTTATTATTCTAGTTTTTTTTTTTTTGAAATTTAAGCTTCAAGAGAGGTAGCTAGAATTAAAAGAAGTAACCATACTTCTACTTCCCTTCTAATTTTGTTTGAAAAAGTTTAAAATACAAGACACGAATTAAATTAAAAACCGCTTTTTATAGGAAAAAATATGAATTGAATCAAATAATTAGCCCTATCTAATCTACAATAGTTCCACTAATGATTTTATAGCTTTTGAAGTAGAAGTTCAACACACCTCTTTCCTTAAAAAGAGCGATTTCATTAGTTTTGACCTAAAAAAAGTTGTTGAGTTCTTCAATTAGAAAAAAAGATATGACCTTTTAGAAAATCATCTTTGTATATTATATATGTTTTTTTTTTACAAAGGTGAATTTATATTAGTAACATTAATATTCAATACTATATGTCAATTTCTACACCAACATAAATATTTGTTAGTATAATGTATTATAATATTAAAACTAGGTATACTAATACCACAAATAATTTCGTAATGTTTATAGTTAATTTAGTTTTGAAATAAAGAGAAATGAAAGCAATGAAGATTGCAGATTAATTTAATACCAAAATGGTAATGACAAATCTACAATCTTTGACCTAGTATTTGATTAAAGGATGTAGGACAAAGAAAAGAATGAATAACCTCTTCCATCCTTATTTGGGTTTCAATAAAAAAAAAACCAAGAAAAAGAGAAACATATATGTAAGAATGAAATTAACTTTTATGGTGATAAACTATAGACATGATCGAAGCATCGACCACTAACTCATGAGTATATAGAAGGATGAGTTAAGTACAAAATGCATCCCTTAAATTTACTTTACATAAACACTCCATTCAATTGGTTTTCAGTAAGACACATAAAGGAAGTGAACGCTGTCACTTCTAACATTCTACAATTTTCTTGAAATTTAAGGTAACCTGAAACCCACAAAGATAGTCGAACTCAATGAGTAACCCTCAATATATATATATGCTAAAAATTGTATGTCAAATCTCATACAATCTAATTTAATGTACAAAATGCATATATGTAAATTAGTCCATCTTAATTTATATAAACTCTAATTAAATAATTTTAGAAAAGAAAAATAGTTTATACTCATCCTATATACAAGCAGTTAAGCTTTCATATCCTTAGCCACAACTTGATTAAAGAATTATTAATAAATGAAGAAGATATTTACGTAAAATAACCACACTAAATTAGGCACTCGTAAGTTTGAATTAATGTATAGAAAAAGTAACTAACCCCAACTTGAGAGATGTGTCACTATAACCATCTTCAGGAAGATTAGATGAATTGCTAATAATGGATTCCGATGATTGCCTGTGTAACTGGATAAGGCTTGGTACCTAAATTTTATATGCATTACTTGAAATATTTATTTTTCTTTACAGAATAATAATAGCAAAATAATAATAATAATGGAATAATATACATTTATATTCATTTGACATATATATATATAATAAAAATAAAATAATTATAAAAAAAATATATTTAAAAATACAATTAAAAGTAAAGAATAATAGTATAAATAGTGTAAAATATTTATGTGTTAAAATATTATTTATCTGGATAAAAAATATCACAGAAACACACAAGTTTGAAAAGCTTATATCACCTGTTTCAATCTTTGGTTTTCCTCCATTAGTTCCACTCCCTGTATGAGCAACATAATCAGACATTGTAGCAGAGAGTTGCAAAGAATGCAGGTTTTATCTTGTTTCACCCCATTAAATACAAAAAATAAAGTTCATTCATTTGGGTAATATCTCTCAGACAAATTATGAGAGCCACTTGTCAAATTGGCCTTAACAAATATTAGACAGCAGAAGATGTCTCTCTCTAGATTCCTTACTGTGATTGTAACCTAGCTAGCAGAAAGGATGAACAAATTTTTCAGAGAAAAGTTATTTGGATGCCTTTATATATCTGTTACTTTCCACATTATTTCTGAGAGAGTGTTATGTATAGTAAGGATGTTTCCTGCAACATATCTTTGGATGTTCAACTTTTGTGAAAGCTTACAAAGATTCAGATGTCAAGTAGACAAGATCATTTGCGGAAATTTGTGGATACTTTAAATCTAATACGTAGATTTTGTGTCATTCAAACCTAGAAATAAATTACGTTTAAGCATTATTAATAAACACAGTTTCTATATGAAAGAATGATTCTAAGTGCTTCTATTTGTTCTCTCGTTTAAATAAGAAATATTTTACATTTGATATATTTTAAAGATATTGTGTTTTAGCGTTTATGATATCCTTTAAATGTAAACATGAATTAGTCTATTATGAACATTTTTGACTGAACCAAACGTAATATTTGTACATCAAAAACATAAAAAAAATATTTCAATACTTACATTTTGAGTATTAGTTTCTTTTGACTTAACATTATTAGTACCCCCTCAGTACTTTTGTTTCAAAAATGAACAAAGCATTTAAAAAATATTATTATTTATTTATTTATATTTCATTCAAATATTTAAATCAATTCACAATTACATTACTTCAATGAAGACCCAAGAAATCTGAGCTTCGATTTTCTTTACTGACTATGAGATTAATATTTAATTCGAAATGTTATCCCTTTCTGCAGTGAAAAAAAGTTAGGAGTTTCAGACAACATCGGCATATTTTGCTAAGTGTTAACAGGGTGACATCCATTAAACAAATTCTAATTCTTTTAATGAAGATGCTTTAACGAAGTAAAAATTATTTTGTTGCCCTACTTATCTAATGAATAATTTAGATAAATGCATTGTACTTATAAAATAAAAATAAGTAGAAAGGAATATAAGTGTCATTTCCCTAACATCAGTTTGACGCATTTGATATGATATGATCTGTGCAGATATGTTGGGAGACAGACATAACGTAAGCGTACTGACATTTTACCAGCCACAGTTGACAACCTTTATCTTTCTTTCTTTATATATATATATATATATATATATATATTATATAATACAAATGTATTTCGTACATGTAATATTTACAACAAATTACATTTATATTTCGAAATTTTTATCATATTTTTTATTTAATTAAGTTTGAAGTTCATGTAGATTTAAACATTTTTAATTAAATTCTTATTAAATTTTGTTGTTGTGAGTATTTATAACATTTTTCATTTAGTTTTTGTGTTTAATATTTTCATCACTGGAATGTCAAGATTGTTATTTTAATTACATTTTCAGAAATTTGAAATTTTGTGGTTTATATAAATTAATATTTATAATTAATGTAAAATAATAAATAATTTCTGTTGTAAAAACGAAAACATTAACATAAGTGACGATAAAGGAAACAATTCCTTAATTGTTGTAGGTAATTATATGGAAATCATGACCAATATAAATAAAGTCTTTGTAATTTTATATCAATAATCCTAATTCATGGAGACAAATAAGCTATCTTTATAATTTTATATCAATAATCCTAATTCATGGAGACAAATAAGCTATCTAGTAGGATAAGAATCATGTGATCCAGTTAACAAAAATATTAAACTAGGACTCAATTAAAAAGAATAAAAATTATGAGTAAAGATATAGGAAGATTATTAGTAGAAAGATAATGAAAAGTATAGATCTATTTGTTTCCCATATAAGGATAGGTTATTATAATCATTTTTTTTATGATCAGGATTATTATCACATTGAATTTTAAATTTAATTAATTAACTTTTAATGTGTATTTAGTTTTATCATATTTTTTAATCATTACTTTTTTCAGTCAATAATTACAAGGACACCTCATCTTCTAAAGTACATCCCCATATAGAAAAGTCAAATCCTTTACATTATGTCTTCCTGATTATACAATGATTAATCATGGGTTCGAAATCTTGCAGCACTTCAGCAACATTGAAATTTTCTATCGATTTATTTTACTTTTCTATCTACCATCTTTTTTTCTGATGGAAATATATTCTGAACTAAGTTGAAATAAAAGTTTCTTACTAAGCTGAAATTACTTTGATCAAACTGAGTTAAATATACACTAAGAAAGGCTAAGTTCAAGATGTTTAAATAAGGTGAAGGTGGAACTACTTGTTAAAGTCCAATTAAAAATACTTTGATCAGGACTATCTAAATTATATTCTCCCTGAGATCAAATTGAAGATGTTGTAATTGATACAGTACAAAAGATATTTTGGTAGAAAATAACTAAAAGCTGATAAAGGATTTTTAAGCTTTCATACCAATCAGAAAACACATATCTAAATATATATCCCACTTTTAAAGAAGTAACAAAATATTTAACTTAAAAATACATTGATTAAACTGTATTACCAATTTTAACTAACCAGTCACTATAAAACATGTTAAATATCTCTCATTTCCACTCCAACCTGCACATACTTGGGTGGAAGTTTATTACGTATTCCTATTTTCCAGATTGAAAAGAAAGCTGAACCATGATCCAGAAAGAAGTTGGATACAACTTGACACATTAAAGAGAAGAAAAAAAGAAGCAAAAAGCTGTTAAATAAGAAAGGCAAAAGCCAGGTTTTGCCCTTAATGCAAATCTTTGACTCACTTCACTGATACCATTAAAGGATTTTACTGAATATCGTTATCTCAATCATTTAGATGCATGCAACATGTACACTTCCACTCCTTTAATATGTTAATTAGACATAAACATTATGAATAATAACAATAATAACGACAGAGTATATATGAGATTTGAAATGTATCAGAGATTTTGATAAGATTTTACCTTTCTTTTAAGGTTGCTGATCTCTTGCATAACTTTTTCATCCTAAAACAAAATAGTATCCAATATGTCAGAAGCACATATTCATACGTTTCCCCACAATCACAATCACAAGTAATCAAGAGGAGAAGGTTGCAACAGTGAAAGCATATAGGTACCCCTTGTGAGAAATGAAGTACTACACACTAGTAACTAATATTTTCATTTTTTCTACTGCAAAAAGGCAGAAAGGTTAAATACTGAATTGTGAACATCATTGATCATAGGGCACAAACCTTTACTTTTGAAACATTGGTCAAACCCCTTTTAAGATTTTCCTCAATTTTCTGCAGTTCTTGCAGTGTCAATCCTTGCAGATCCTCTCCATTCAACTGCCTGTGTTAAAGATGGAAAACCTAGTCTGTGATATAGTATAGTATGTTTATATATATGCAACATATGAAACAGTGTGCATATGTACCTCAATTCATGATTCTTATCTTCTACTTTCTTGCGCAGGATGTCGTTGGAGTCACTCTCAATCTGTTCATAAATTTGAAAGTAATCTTCAACTTCTAGTTATCATGCAAATAGTGTCAAAGACAGTTAATTAATAATACTTTTCTTCTTGTAGTCACGAGATAATTAGCTCAATTTGCAGTTTTCCTTATACACCTCTACTAATCTACCTGTCAAGCTGAAAAAAAAAACACATTCATGCAACCACACCAGAAAATTCACAAGTATATTTCTCCTTCAAATGTCAATGCTTACCAAAAATAGGGAAAAATGTTAGTATGAAACTGTTGTTAGAAGAAGTTTCTTTTCAACTAATTCACTTACCGGATTTAAAGATAATAAATATTTTGCTTGATTGAATCACCATAAATTCATCATTAGCATCACCTTTCGTATGTAAAATTTGGTCCTGTGTGTAAATTTGTTTTCAACCTAAGTCTGATTGTAGTTGAAAACTATGCTGGAGTCTAGACTTGAAGGATGAGTTTTGAAAGGTGAAATAGAATTTTGGTAAGTTTATGACAATTTTGGGGAATTTGGCAGGTTCATGACCATTCGGGAAATTGTTTGTTTACAGAAAGTAATTCGAGTGAAACTTCCTATTTTTAAACATAATTACTCTATTTTGATTTTAGTAGTTTATTTTTCTTTCTTTTCAGCTTCAATTTTTATATTTTTGGAGTAGTCATTTAAGTGTTAAATTATTTGTTCTTTCTATAAAATCTTTAGTTTTGCTACCATCAGGCTGCCAAGATACTTTGCGTACCATCACTGAGGGTTGATATACTTTTATTGTTTCATCATTAATGGTGATATAATTGTTTAGGTTCAACAAAATGTATGAATTAAATTAAACTACTGTAAAATTTGAACTTTACTTTAAAAGTGGGTTGAGAGAATAGAAGTATATAATAACTTAAATGAATTGATATAGAATGGATTATGATTTTAGTAAATTAAACTAAATTGAACTAGTATAATTGTTTGAAGTATATGAATTGTTTGAATTATTACCCGTGATATATTTTCAAACATAATGATTCATAATCCAATTTAGTTCAACCAGTGTTATTTGATAACAATTCATTTTTAAAACCTAAATTAATATAACAATTTAATATAGTTTTCCTTTAAATAAATTAGCTATTTTATATACACTTTAGATCAGTTAAAGTTATACTGATTGCCATCAACATTCATTTACCTTAATCTCAATTGCAAGAACAATTTATACTTTCATTTTTTACATAGTATTCTCCAAAAGTAGACAATTAATGATTGCAAGTTCAAATTTAATCAAATCACTAGTACAGTAAAAGGAAACAACAGCGGTTATTTTTGCCTTTCCGCAGCGGTTCTAGAACCGAGGTATATACAGACGAGGTAAAAAGTGGTAGGGTTTTTGCCTCGGTTGAGAACCGAGTCAAAAAGATGTATGTTTTTGTCTCAGTTCAAATGCAACCGAGACAATAGAGAGTGTTTTATTTTTTTTTCGCCAAAAATTTGGCCTCGGTTGTTGGTCAACCGAGGCAATAGGTGGTTTTTTTTTCAATGGGTCATATTCCTCCATTCCTCCAAGAAGACTCAATTCATCCAAGAAGCAGCAAAGTAAAGACATGAACCGATTAACCAAAACAGAAGAACCAAGATCAAGAATTTAAAGGCACATCGTAATCAAAGTAATATTGGGCAAAAATATTAAAGCAAATGGAACTACTAAAAATCAAGAAAGATCAATGGAACCCAGAAAACACATAGGAAATAACAAGAATCTGGAAAGGATTTCATCTTAAGTACAGACAACATCCAAAGAGTCCCAGGCCTCAGGTACTTGTTCTCGGAGCTTCGTGACTGCCTCCTTGCCTTAACCCTCCGTGAGCAGCGAAGCTTGGATTTGTCTTGAAGTCTTTCCAAGGTTCCCCACGATATGCTCGTGCCAATTTTATTTTCCTAGAAGAAAATTGTATAAATGGAGGATCTGAAGGTAACCTCAAAGGTGCTACCATCTGCAAGATTCTGGACAAGATAACTGCACAAAACCACATAACATAGGAAGGCATTTAGTTGAATGATGTTTCAAACTCAACAACAAAGAGGGTATGGAGAATAAAAACAGAGACCGTCTTGGAACTCCCCTCACTGCTACTCACCTGCTGCAACGAGACCGTTTTAGTGTTCGAAGGCCCTTCCCCGAAATCCCTCACTCCAGCGGATCCCTTTTCCCAGACCACCTTTTTACCTTCCTTCTCCTTCACAAGAGCCTCTCTCGACACTTCGTGCTCCATCTCATCTTCCAATTCGGGAATCCCCTCCCTCTCCCTCACCTCCTTCGAATCCAGACTGCTCGCTCTCGACTCGAACCGAGACTGATAAATCGGATACCTGTTCTCGAAGCTACCGAAGACGCTGAGAAAATCCCAAGTGAAGATGCGAGGAGGAGACGGCGGCACTGGATGGGGACGCGACGGAGATGACGACGGTCCCGGGGGAGGGTAGTAAGGGTAATCCCCACCCGGAAACCCGTAGAAACCGTAACCGTAAGAAGGATCGGGCCATTGTCCAAATGTTGCGATGTGCTTCTCTGGTTCTTCATATACCAGTGGTCTTCTCCTTCGGTGACACCTTACTCATTCTCTCGTTTCCCACACTCAACCCAACCTGAAAAAAAAAAAGAAAATAAAATTGAAAAACAAAAATCAAGAAGAAGAAGAAGAGAGAAAGAGAAAGGTTGGTACATGGTGGTGAGGTGGAAGGTGAAAATAGAAGGCGGAACAGAGAGGGAAAGAAAGGATTGGGGCCGCTAGGGTTTTCGCCGCTAGGGAAAGAAAGGAATGGGGCAGCGGCAGAGGGAGGAGGTGGCAGAGGGAGCAGAAACGCAGAAACGTCGTTGGAGGCAGCGAGATACACAACCCTCACCGCAACAAAAATGAAGGCACCGAGGTCGTTGGTGGTAGCGGTGGGAGCAGCGATGGAGAGAGCACTGGCGTCGTTGGAGGCAGCGAGATGCACCACCCTCAGCGCGATTAAATGGAGGCACCGTCTGAAGTGGTTGGAGGCAGCAAAGAAGGAAGCAGCGTAGTTGTGGAGGCAGTGGAGGCAGCAACGCAGGGGAAACAAGAGAAGAAGGAAAAAGCATATGTTTTTACCCTAGAACAGGACTATTAACTCGGTTACCAAAATACCCGAGGCAATATCCAGCCTACTGCCTCGGTTGTACTGCCACCCGATGCCTAATCCCTTAAAAAAAATTATTAAAAAAGCATAGGTCTCGGTTAGGGGCAAACCGATGTAGTACAGCAGCACATACTGCTTCGCGTAGAAAACCGAGGCAATATGGGAATATTGCAGAGCTATATACTTCGGTTCACTTAGATAGCGAGGCAGTTACTGCTTTAGGCACCAGTTAGTGGAGAACCGAGGCGTATACCTTGGCTTTTATTACAAAACTGCCACCGCCTTTTTATACGCTTCGGTTTTTACAAAACCGAAGCGTATATGGCACGTTAGAAACCCCTTTTTGTACTAGTGAATGTATGTCAATATGAGGGCAATCATTTTGAACATAAGACTACTATAATGAAGAGGATCTTAGAGTTGCTTTAAAATGTCTGCAAAATTGTAAAGTTATGCCAAGAAGATTAAACTTATAAAAAGTTGTCAAGGAAAGATAAAGTTGTAAGATTTGAAGATATATAAAGGATAGATCGATAAAGCCGTAGAAGTTTGCCAACACTTTAAAAAAATATGTTGCTAATTAATGAATTGATAATGTACATAGGGGTTAAACAAGGGAAGTTAAAAATGTATATGTTATTGCTATGAGCTATGAACATATACCAGTGATAATGTTTATATATTGTTTTAAAATGAATATGCATGGTTAAATAGTTGTCGTATGTATATGTAATGTTATTTTCTCATAATAACAGGATTGAAGCAATTGTCAGTAATAGTTTTTCGACATTTTCACGTCAAAATAAGGAAACATCGCAGAACCTACAACTTGTTGCTTCTGACATGACAGAGAGATCCATTGTTGTCAAAAGTGTAACCAAATAGGTAACAAGTCTGACATGGAGATGAGATTTGTTACATTCAGGCATAGATATCACGAATGTAATACTCGATATTTATGATATTTGTGAATGATTGAATATTAGGTGATAAAATCTTCATTAAAATAGGTTCTAATATCATATAAAAAGTAAGTTTAAAATTAATTCATTCTTATAAACTAATTCACAAAATTAAATTTTTCGTGACTTATTAATTTTATCTCCAATAATGGAAGCTAAAATTATCACGAGGAACAGGCATCCTACATAAGTGCTTCCATGTTACAATTGGGATGAATCCCCGATTTGATGACATTAACGATGTCAGAGAAGCAACGTTAACTGTGTTGTTTATACATTATCCTTAACGTCATAATCAAACACATTCCCCATAATGGTGTCAACATCAGACGTGCTCAGAATAGCATGTGACAGCATACCAAGATCAAAACCCTAATTTAATGTCTTTTTTGACTCGTCTAACACGTCAAGAACAATGTTCCTCAAGAATAATGAAAAGAATAAAGAGCACGCTCCATTAAGCATTGTCCATGCATTTAAGAGCTAGAATAACCACGCCCCAAAACTGACAACTTTCAAAGTGACACACCAAGTCTCTGAAGTTCGGTCATGGATGATCGATTGATAAATCACATACAATGAATGATGTGTAAATTACTTGATATCACATACAAATGAAAATATCTGAGATGACAAGTTTTGAACCCTTAATGGAGGAAAATTCATTACAAGTACCCTGATACAATGGTGATTAATTACGTAATCGTATTCTGATAGGGTTTTTTTTTTAAAAGAGGTTAATTTAATCCGTAATGGTTTTTTTTATGAATGTTTTTTTATGAAGATATTATATATATGAGATTTCATTTTAACTTCTAGTAAAAAATCAATATCACTTTTAATCGAAAATCTCAATTGTAAGTTTATAGAATTTATTTTAGATATATATAATGTTTAAATTTTTTATTTTTACTCAATTTAAAACTTAAATTTACCGTT